TGTGAAAATACAATCTTTGAAACCGTTAACTATTATCGGTTTTGTGAAAATAGGAAACCATTATAAATAAAAAAAAACAATATAAAAATACAACTTTAACATCGATAATTATCATAGATTTTATGATTGGTAACTATTACAATGGTATATCGCTTAATCACTGCTAAGCTTTGACATTTGGTTAGTTCGGGACCTTTGGGTCGATTCGGATCGTTGTTCTTTCGATTTTTATTTCTGGTTAGAAATATTGTACTGGAACTAACCGAATAAAACTATTGTTTAGTGTGATTTGGTTGTGGCAAAGTTTTGGTTCAAATTTAATGTTGTCGGATTACATCGAAGTGTTAATTTGGTTTAGGTGTTTAGTGAAAGCTTTTGGTAATTTCAAGTAATTCGTATAATTTCGATAATTTAGATATATGCTCACCAATGAAAATAAAATTCATGATTAGTGATGAACTCTTTTTCATTAAAACTTGGATAAACGTTAATAAACTTTTTTGCACAAGTTTTGATCTTAGTAGTGAACTGACCTGCAAAGTGTCGATCTTCTGGAACATAAACCCAAAAATTCAAGTTATCCATCTTACCGCAAGCGTACTGGGAGTTATTATGGAATAAAGACAAGATTTTTTGCTAACAATTCCACAGTAGTCCATTCTGTGAGTGCCTAAAGAGAAAACCCAACATTGGTGACTACCTAAAACTAATCTGGATGAATGTAAGGATTATCGTATATAATATTTTAAGGTTTAGAGTACTCCTTCATCTTGACTGTGTTTGATATATGGCTCCAAAAATGCTCAGTTCTCCAAATATGAGGTCGATCCTCTTTTTTGGGGCAGGAGGGGGTGAATTAGGTGTCTCCTCTTCCGCGGGCCTTTCTCTCTTCCCTCTGGATCGATTCTTCTTTCGGAGTTCCGGCTGGGGGGGAGCTGTCTCTCCCTCGCCGTCCTCTTTGGGGTTTTCTGCTAGGGAACACTGTTCCTTTTAAAAATTACAGTGTATGGCTACTTAACCCTTTTGTTTCCAGAATATATGGCGTGAGGAAACGTAGCTATGAGAGGCTGCCATGTGGCAACTACTTTTTTGACATGTGCACTATTTTTCAAAAATCAAAATGAATTTAAGTTTGTATATATTTAAGGGATCTTTTCAAAAATACCCTATTTATGTTTTAGAGTTTGGAAAAAACACTTTTTTATTTTTTTGAAAACTAACTCTTTTGATATTTGAAAAGACTGATTTATCGTGATTTTATTTAAAAATTACATATTATAACAAATAATAATTAATTCAAAATTGTTAATAATATTATTTTCTTTTTATTTGAGACAAAAAAAATTACTGATTTAAATTTCAAAATTTTATCATTAGATAAATCTAGAAGATATATATCAAGTTAATTTTCAACAAAATTTCAATCTTACGTTTCTTATATAAAATAGATTTTCATGCATAGATAGTCACCCACCTCTTTGATACAATTTGCAAAGTATTTTGTTGTTTTTTACATAAGTAGTTTTTACATATTTTTTCGATATGTTTATATTGCTTTAGGTGGTAATTTTGTATGTATTCATAACGTTGACTTTGTTATGATAAGTTTCTATTGCTTTGAATGCAAGGTGGTTTGTATGTATTCATAGTGTTGATTAAGTAATTTTATTACTACTGTTTTTTTTTAAGTTTAAGTAATTTTGTTTCTGTTGTTTCCTCTTACAAAAATTGTTTATTCGTGTTAGATTTTGTATATTATATTTGTTTCTTAGCCAAAGATATGTTTCGTTAAAAAAAAAAAAGATATGTTTCGTTGTGTTTATTTTTTTGTGTGTGTGTTTAAGCATATAAAATGATATGATCTTGGTTTTTTTGTGTGTTTAAGCATATAAAATGATATGATCTTGGTTTGGCTTTAATAGCAGCTCATGTCGAACTTAGACTAAAGATTCAAAGGAAGAACATTTGTTATGTGAGATATTGTAAAATTAGTGCCAAACAATAAACAGTAACAAGAACATGGTGATCATTTTCTCAACAAAAAAAATTATACGAATGTGACAATAAAGAGATACGACGGTAAAACGGAGATACGAGTGATGAAGGAATGATATGAGATTGATGACTAATCGATACGAGGTTGATGAGGGAGAGATTCAAACACAAGTGATGAGGGAGAAATAATTTGTGTTGGACAAAGTAATGTTCCTAACACTTTCCTTGATGTAAATCCAGAAAAATATCTTACTACAACTTGTCTGATCAATAGTTTTTTACAGACGTATTTGGTGCAAAATAAATGACCAATCACTTTTTAAGGAAACCGTAGTGAATATTGATTTAGATATACAAGTTAAGGATTTGTGCCAAATAAAATATCTATTAATGAACCGTCTATTTTTTTATATATAACACTAGATTTTGTATGATTAAATGAATTGATTAATTGATTTTAACATATATAATTTTTTAATGTTTATATGACAAAGCAAGTGATTTCTAATATCTATAAACGTACAAAAATGATATGTATTGTGCATAATAAAATTGAATATTTTTGATCAAACCTATATTAATGCTATGAGTTTTAATTTTTTTTTTTTTTGTAAATTGATCAAAACATATGTAAATGTTATTCATTTCAATATTTTTAACATATAAAATTGATCTTCATTTGAATTTATCAAAGATAAAAAAACGGAAAACAATATATGTTTTCCAATAATAAAATGTAATTTGTATGTGTGATTACATATATTAATCTAAATACATAAATACACAATAGATAAATGTTATAAATTTAATAATAAACTGTTTTTTAATATAACACAAAATAGATATTATGGTAAGTCTAAAATATTACATTCAGTTGAGTTTAAAATTTTAAAACATGTATTAATGAGTTTATGTTAAAAATTAATTAGAATATGTAGAGAATTTCTACTATGGCATATACTTTTAATTGAAATGTTTTGATTGGTTAAATAAAATGATATGTCCCTTAAATTGCTCTTTGATTGACATCTAGAATTTTTTTATCTAGTGTTACTCAATTAATATATAGAGGATTGTATATGTCAAATAATTTGCTACCAATGTTTTTAAT